TTGTAATATTTTCTTCCGCAAAATCTGTTCCAACACGACAAGTATAGCTTGGGTAGCAAAACCTTTCACAAACATGGCGGCAAAGTATCACTTTCGGCTACGGCGGAAGTGTAGTGTTTGCAGAAAATTTGGAATGACGAGAGTAAGCAGGAACAACTGGATGCAACACACTCTGAGATATTTGGTAAAATGTGGGACTACCTTCTTATATGTGCGGCACAAATGAATAAAACCTGCTGCGTTGCATACTAGACAAATCTATGTGTGTCATCACCCCCAAAATGACCCCAAATAAGCCACAAAATAAGGACATTAATCATAAATTCCATTGTGCTGTGCGATAGTGCTTTCCTTCCTATGCTTTCTCCCGCACAAAAAAAGTCGCACAGTGATGACAAAACCTTCCTGGGGCCTTGATCGTTAAGCGCAATGTGAGCACAGACCAATGGAGGTGGGGGGGGGGGGGGACCATCGTGCTCAGGCACGGAACAAGGGAACCAGGCCAAGTGTAAGTAAGACCTACGATGGAAGAAGCCACCATAAATAAATCTCATTATGTGACCTTCACCGTACCTGTGCTCTCGTGTATCTTCCATTGCTGAAGACCATTTCCAACACTCAACAGCAGAAGTACAGAGGATGATACAGAATCCCCTGTTCTTGTCGTGTCAATGGAAACCGTTCTCGTCCCTCCCCAACATATCAAGGATACATTGGTTGCATGCTTGCCGAATGGGACCAATCCCACGATTCATTGCACCCCAAGTTTGTTCTTGGAAGGCAAGTTAGCAAGACTGGTCTTGCGAAGACCACAAGTACGGTCTTTGCGTTCTTGGTATTGAGATTTGCTCTGTGTCTCCCTGCTAGCTAATTAGGGTTAGAGGTCACATGCTGAGCTTCACATTTCCAGTGAACACACTGAACAACTAAAGATCTCATACAAGCAGCAGAGACAGCATGCAGGCAAATACCCCATTTTACAAACTCACAGCTATTCCAAAAATTTCCCCTCTCTGTTTTTTTGAGGGTTATGAAGCTAAACTGTGCGTGGGAATGACAGATGACGAAGATGCGAATCGAAGACTTAAAAAAACGGAGGTTCCCCCTTTCTAAAAAAGGCCCGGATATATCTGTGCACTAAAAACGACCACCGAGAAGAAAGTGAAACGCAGAAGCAGCTGATGCCGGGACGCGAACAGAGCCCACATTTACGCCATAAAAACACACCTGTGCATCTTCGTGCAAAAAGCGCCAAACTGTCGACAGCGATCGCCTCGCCCGTTTCATATTCGTACCTATAAAGCGGCAGATTTTGTAATGCCTGCATGTTTATCATACGGGTGTCAAACAGCTCCCCCTGGGACCGGGGGGGCCCCCAGCTCAGCGCTGCACTCCGACAGCATGAGCAACAGGGGAGCAGAGAGGGAGCCCGTGGTGTTCATACCCAAACCGCGGCGTAACCCCAGCACATCTACAGCCTCCAAAAGATGGATATGGAAGCTAATCTTCCTCTCTGCCTCCTGGGGACACCCCCGCGCTGGAAGCCCGGCAAGAGGGCTCCCCTGCCGCTTAACCAACGGTTCGTGTCGATGGAAACCGCGAGGCGATTTTCCCTAAAGGCTCTGATTCCGAATCTACCTATAAAACATTCCCTTTGTAAAACTTTCGGAATGATTTTGCACCGCGAACCAGCATAAGGTTATATAAAACCTTTACTGTTGAGACGTGCAACATTAAAAAAATGACTCAATCTGCGTGCCTTCAAACATCAGTACATTTATCTTCAGTTCATTGTATGTCCGGTTTTCCAGGGATCCGGAGCGTTTCCCAGGAGGCCGAAGCTGTGCGGAAAGGCAGACCGCAGACAATCGGTGAGAGACACAGACTCCGAGGGCAGTTTGCCGTCAGCGATTCAGGGCGTCATTGGAATGTGGGAGGAAGGAAGAAACCCACAAAAAAGCTGCAGACACGCAGACAGACACACACACAGACAGACACACACAGCTGGAGCCACTTTTGAAGCTGCACCACTGGAATACTAAATAAATGTAGGCTAATTTATTACGTTCAGTTTAGTTCAATTTAAAAAAATGAAATTTCATGTCTTCAAATACATTATGAATATTAAACCACTACATTTTAATTTAAGAACATTTCCACAAAGCACTATTTTTAATAAGGACAAGAAAATACTTATAAAAATTAATGATAAACATTTTATTACTCTATTAAGCGGGGGTGATTTTAGGATTTGATTTTTAGGGGGTCAGCCCCTATGAAATATGGGACAAATCGCTAAAAGGACAAAAAAAGACCGGCTGTAGCCTCCCTTGCCTGTGGTATTAAACATGTAAAAGATGCGGCTAACAGCAAAACTCAAATAGTTGTTTTTAAAAGCCAAATTCCAGATTGAATGTGCGTCACCTTATTAGGCCAAATAATACTGTCACAACTGCTTACATAATTAGAAACAATAAGAAACAGAGCAGTTAAGGAGATGAGGACCCAGGCTCCCAACTCGGAAGAAATACAGAGGACCGCGTCACGCGACAGGTGACGCACGGGAACCGACTGGGCGCCGCGCGCGTTTCATCATGCGCTGCCCTGCTGATCTCAGGCGGCCTCGCTAACGCGTCCGCGCAGCATCCGCCTATGTGCCCGAATACGGGCGCCCGAACGCATTACCGCGCATTCGCATGCAGTCGGAAAAAAGAGACATATTTTTAAAAACGCAGCTTTGCAAACCAGGACACAGGGAGCACCACAGAAGAATGTATTTTACAGCGAAAGGGTGCGTCATACAACATCGAGACCCACCACACGAGCCCGGCCAGTACACCTTCACCTTTTATCATTGCCTGCTGCGCGGACATGTTACACAATATTGCTGCGTATGTAATCGTATTTGCCATATGCTCTGTCCTAACAGTAGATGAAATAAAATCAGACAGTAGAATGCAGGCCTACTTTATTGTTTTACTTATACTTGTATTCGTTTATTTAGCATGGTTTTGATTAGATTTTATATTTTTAAACTGGCATAAAACAAGAAATTCAAATAGTTGCTTAAGAACTGCATTATAAAGCTCCACTCATCGAGTCGAAAATTCACATTCTGTGCTGAAACTACTCACCCCCAAGGGAAAATGGACTCCACACATTGTCCCCCCCCCCCCCCCCATGAGAAATCCTCTATCTAACATTGTGTGTGTGTGTGTGTGTGTGTGTGTGTGTGTTTTACCATAGGAATAAAACAGTACAATTGATCATTCTATGAGATCAGCTTCCACATGATAAGCGCTCATGTGTAGCCTAGCATTACTATTCAAAGAAGCACTAATGATTTTTCGATTTGAAACAGCGGAGTTTCACATAACTCTTTAAATAAACTTAGCATATAAATGTATTTTTCACTGTCTGCCTATTTCTCATATATCCCTGCATGTTATCCAAGGGGCAGCACCACCATCCATCCATCCGTCCATTTTCTATGCCCACTTGCAGAGTTGGAAAGTTCAGGTCCAGAAAGTAAAATCCATACCAGGATTTTGTTTCAATTACCAACCGTCTGATTAATCTGTGACTGTAACTCTATCCTCAACTGGTTGGTTGGAGCGAAATCTTGGTCTGGAGTTTTACTTTCTGGACCTGCACTATCCAGCTCTGCCTGCTTGTCCTAACTTTATATATCATAAATCCTTCCTGTTTCAGCATGAGCTGGACTTGTTGCCATCAGATTAAAAACTTAAGGATGGATGGCTAGCTTTCCTCCCCCATTTATCCAGCCTACAGGGCACTACCCCCCGCCCCCCCGCCACACATCAGCACATCAGACGGGGGATAGATAACAGTGTCACTGAGCAGCCCTCTCCTTACCCATCTGTCCACACACTTCACATGTCAGAGTGCCGCCCCCACTCCGGCAACCCACCCACCCCGCACCTGACAGGAGGAGCCATCTGTTAGCCTCGCTCGGCCAAGAACACGTCTTAGTTATGAAATTATCGCTAAAGTAGATCACAGGAGGTCTAAAAATACACTTTCGACATAATGCTGTCAAGTATAAATGTCAGACGAGCGAGGGACTGATCGAATGATGAAATGTCACCCAGGAATTACCCAGAGGAGTGTTGCCCGTGGCGGGACGAGGAAACTCGGAGGGGGGGGAGCGTTTTATTCTTTTTTTACAGAGTGTGAAATGACCGTCCACAGTGTCCGACAAAGTGCCTCCGCATGGGAATCAAAAAGAACACCGTAAAAAACCAGACTGAAACATCTGACTCAGTCCACAGAAGAACCCTAATCCTCAGCTATAAAGAAAATGAGATTCCTAAAACTTTTTTGCAGTTTTTTTTTTTTTGGGGGGGGGGGGGCTATGGCAACACCATTCACCACGAATTAGGGATGTTTTTAACTGCTAATCAAATTCCAGCCCTATTGTCCAAACAAAGGGAAGAGGGAGACGAATCTGAACGCGTCATGCTGGAATGTGCAGTCACACTGTGCCACGCAGCGGCGGCTGCTCAGGTAACCCAGACCTCTCACATCCCAGCAAACTTCCCAGCTCAGTATAACACAAAAAAGACGGTAACACACACACACACACACACAACGTCTGTCCAACTCAGACCAAATCTAATTACGCTTTCCTTTAAATCAACTAATAAAGAAACAGAACCCGCTGTCATTTATGCTATATTTTTAATCTTGGAGGCCCTGAGTATTTAAAAGTCAATGGTATATGAGAAAAAAAAATTTCAGGACGAAAAATAAATCATGGCAATGGAGCCACAAAGGTTATCAAAGAGCACTGAGACTGCGAGACCTTGTACGTTTATAAGCTATATAAACTCAAGATATTAATAGGATATGAATGTAGATCATAGCCATCTACCTTCTGCAGAAGCTTAAATTTGTCACCATGTCGGTTAAGAGGCATTAGAAGATACAAAGCGAAAGATGCCAGTGTTCAAGATGAAAAGCCCTGGAACGACACCTACCTGAATATTCAGGAGAGTTCATATTAGCAGAGGCAGGAAAGCTCCTGTAGAGAGATACAGCCACCTGTTAGTTGTGAAGCACCGGCAGCTCAAACCGCTGAGCAGCAGGCAGGTGGAGTCACGCCCACGTGGATATTACACCTGAAATGATGCACCTGCGGGCCGAAGCGTCCGCCACCGAAAGGGGTGGGGTGACACGCACTTGCGCACTGTGACCAGCAGAGGGCGGAACACACGCGGACACCTGATCTGGCGCTCAGGGCTGAATACGCAGACCCTATCAGGTCACTCTGCTGCAAGCTCCGGGGACACACCACACCACTTTAGAGCAACAGATACCAGCTTATATTATTTCCTAAAGCACTAAGTGACGATATGTGTACAAACATTGGCAGAGAGTACACCACCAGGTGTCTGGGTCTGATGCATAAAGATTCCACAGCCGTACGTGGAAAAACACACACAAATCTAATTTACCTTTAATTTATTTTGTGAGCCTGCGATATTCTAGAGAAACAGAAACATCAGCGCGTGAATTTTATCCACACTTTTGTGTGATTTTCAAACGTTGCCCCTTAACTGTTTAAAGGAGAAGCACCCACAAAGGCAAAGTTAAGATTACATTTCAACACTGTCGAACCAAAGCCTCGCGGGACGTTTTACTGCAAATCCCACTGCTGACAAGCTATAACTTCGTCCGTACAAACTAACCATTAAGGAAAACCTATCTACTCATCTGTCATTAATTTATCTCGTATGTGACCCTCGTTATGGTCCTCGTGAAAATTACAACGTAAGACCATATGCCTGCGTCCATCTACCCTACGTTGCCTGTGAACCACATCACGACGGAACCCCAAGGGTTTAATCCGGAATCTCCAGAATCAAATTGGAAAATCCCTTTGGATCACAAATAATCCGGCTCTGCTAGACGGCCCATATCTGGTGACACACATTCGACCCGACTTCTATCAGAAACAGCTGGTAAATTATACAGCTGCAAATTACCGCTAGAGCATCACCCTGCTATAAGGCAACTATCATTAACTCCTCCAGATGGCTTGTGATTCTACTGCCCCCATTTGACGAACAACCTTTCCTGCAATAATAATAATAATAATTATAATAATAATGATGATAATGATGATAATAATAATAATAATAATAATAATGCAGACAGAAGTACAGAAGACATGCACTAAGCGCGGGCCCATAATTTTCATCTTCTCTTTAAACTAATTTCTTTCTTTCAAAGCAAACACAACTCCAAAACGAGTTAACTCACTTTTATAAAGGAGTTAACTGAAACAGTTGTTATGCGCGATTAAAAAAGCAGCTGTTCCTCCGTATACTGCATTTTACCCCAATTCAATTGATAAAACGCGCACGTCTATACCAAGGTCTCATTTGCTGGATGCTAATCGGGTCTATTTTTAGTCCAGACGTTGCATCGTTTTCGCGGCGCAGTGTGCCCAGAATATTTCAAAACATATAATTATACAACGTTTATTTAGATGAAATGGTGATCTCCCGTACAATAATGCGTTTGGATTGACCATTATTAATTTGTTTCTTTTTCGTTGGAGAGCAGCAACAACGACATCTGACCGCCAAAGTGTTTTACATAGTATTTGTAAAGGCTAAAATGTACTGGTGGATTGAATAAATATTCATTATATGCGGCTAAAAATAAAAAGTTTTTTGCTTCACGTATCAGATTTGTCACGGAAACCGTACACGTTTAACGATTACTGTCTACTCTTGTTGTACATAAATATGTATGTCGATATTTATTTCATTAATTGTAATTACATGCATGTTATAAGTCATATTTACCTCTACAGTAACCATAGGCACATTTTTTCACGATGACTGTAAATTACTAAGGGTATTTTTTTTTAAACTATTAAAATATTTGCATTATCACTGTTCTCTCATTTAATTCAAAGTTGGATAATTTGACCAGTCCGCAAGGCATAAATCCGCAGAGAGAGAAACGCGCATCACTGTCTTACCTTTAGCTCTGCTGCAGTTTGAGTTCACAGGGAGGATATACGGCTGTCCAAAAGACGACCAGGACGGCTATTCCCGTTGTGTGACAATGTGCATCTCTACGCCGCAATCACAACGCAGCGCACGAAGAAAAGCGACTGGGGAAGATGGTTTTCAAACCGCAGCGCCTGCTATAGATGCGATCGCTGCCTGTGGCGGCATGAGTACAGCGGGCTAAAAATAGCATCAAAGTAGACAGCAGGGCCAGTAATATCGTTTACACAATGGAGGGAAGCGAAGTTGCCTGCCTCTTCACGTAAACGCGCATGTACTCCTAAATAAAACCTGTAACGCTGCCCACAGCTGGAAATACAGCCGAATATATACGTCACGAGTGATTCCACCTATTCCTTGTAATAGCTTACCTTTTAAAAAAGGTTAATCCTATGATAGACAAAGGCTTTGATTTACAGTATTCAACAAATGGTTCCTTTAGTGTAAGTTTGTGATTTACAGAATGATCGATTATGCTCGGAAAGAAACGTACAGGAAATGCCAATCATGTAATCATAAATCCTAAGTGGACGAGTCGATTAGTTCGTGTTTATCCTTTTGGCTTAAGGGAATGGTTGTCTTTATATTCTACAGAAAAAATACATTTGATACTATTCAAATGGCGTGTTCTTATGCTAGATATAGCCATTTTAAAAAAACGACTTAAAACGCTGACACAGCTGCTCTTTATGACTGCAAAGCATATTATTTCTATCAGTAACGTACAGAGTCTTCATCCAAGGCCCATCTATGTGGCCACTCGTTCACAGGCAGTACCTTGTGCGCTATCAGCGACATCTAAACACAGATTGTATCTAGTAATTTCAAAACTTCAGCTTTTCTCTGGTTAAGGATGGTTTGGCTGGGGCGAAATAAAATATCTACTCGGGTATCAGGGCATTCGATGCGCCTACTACTGGTTAAAGATAAATACTACTAGTAACGTAGGATAATCCGATTATTTATGTGGATTATAGTGGCACATTTCAATTCGGTAACTGATTAATATCGTTTAATTGCGATCCTTCGATTGAACATGATACAACATAACATACAACATAAACAAACTGTACATTTTAAGTGTGAGTGTTTTATAAGTTTAATGGCATAAAATACTATATTTCGGAAGCAAATAGCAGTAAAAAATATAGCTATTTGGCTATTTTAAATATTGTGCTCCCATACGCCTATGCGTCTTATTATTGACAATCGTTTAGACAAGTTGAAGAAACGTCAAATGCTGCTGAAGGTAAGTAAGAATTTTAAAAGATACAGGAAAAGTTCATTTCTGAAGTGAATGAATCATTTGTGACGTTCCAATGAACAAATATGTAAACAGCCTAAATCATAAAGCTAGCAAATGAGCAATTAGCCCTCCTTGCAATAGATACTTGTAAGGAAGCGCAACCTGGAAAAAAACTGGTATCTATTACGGAGTGTATAGGCTGTTAGCCATTAAAGAAACATGCCGAAGCCTTCCATTGCTTCCAGCACACTTATCAGATCGACTTCTTGAAATGAAACATGTAGAAGTGGGTTAAGTGTCTTTTAAAAGAAGAAGCAATGTTTTAAGACGATGGAGAGCCTCGTGACGGTAAACCACAAAGAAGCGAACAGAGCTCTGGACTATATGTACCTGCAAAATTCTTTGCTTTGGGATACTAGTGGAGCGCTTTATTGCTGGAAGCAGGTAGACGTTCTGCTAACATTTACTGTAACAGCAACGTTGCGACAAGAAGCTCATCTAGCATATATATTAGTAACTTGTGCTACTTTTAATCATTGCACGAATCATTTACAAAGAAGTCGAAAATTCAGGGCTTTATTGTGAAACACGTACGGTTTTTTTAAGAAAAGGAAATGCAACTGACCAGCACAATGTGGTCAAATGACTTATCACATGTTACGCGATAGGGTTTGTCAAGCATTTTAATGCTTCACTAGTGGGAAGGCCTGTTAAGGACAAATAGAGGCAGGAGCGTATTAAGAATTATTAAAATTATTAAACTGTCACATTTTACCCGCCGAGTTTAAAATAAAACTGTACTAGAGCATTTTTACGCTATACTGTAAAGGGTATTAACGGTTTGAATCAGGGGTAACTCCTTTGTTGTAAATGCCATCCAGAATTGCGAATTCCTAAGGATAAAGACTTTTAGAATTTGAAACGTTTCTGCTGAAAGACCGAAGCGACAAAGAAACGTATTTTTATACGAAGTGGAAAGGCCTAGTGCACGTTCTTCAGGAAATGGAACAGTTTCTGGTATAATTAAATAAAAATGTAACATTTATAGCGTCGATGAAACACTCAGCAAGGTTTGGGAATACATTAGAAATGAAAGCACTAAAAGTACTTGGTACGTATTATGAGCAAAGAGGCCGTCAGTCTGGCTTTGACAAGTCGCCTCCCAAAATAATCCACTGCTTTAGGATCTAAACGCTCTTGCTTTAAGACGCCTGCTGGTATGTATCGACTGGCAGGGGGGCGTCGATGTTTTTAATCAGCAGAGAACGGACGCATTTAACTCTGATTGGTGTATATCAGTCACGTGGACTGCTTGGGCCAGTAGGAATCGCCTGCGCTGGCGTGTCGTTGGTTTTCTTTTTTAAACGTCGTCATTACCGGTGAGATGACGCCAGACGGTCGCTTCGACCAGTGAGAGACGAGCGCTGGCGCGTGAAGCTCTCAACATGGCGACTTTCCGGACACAATACGGGGACTGGAGATACGCCAGTGTTTAGGCGACAAAATAGCATCTCCCCGTGCCGTACAATGTCTCGGGGCTAGCGGACGTAGCCTCTGCCTCTACGTTTTTAATAATGCTCGCAGAGGTAAGGCTGTTGCGGGGGCGCTGCTTTGGGGACGCGTCAGTTTGTTTTCCTTCCGCGCTCTCCTGTCAGTGTCACAGCACTGGGTTAGCTGGTTAGCCGGCTAGCTGCTATCTAGCCTGGGTAAATGTAGGGCAGCGGCATGCTTCGAGCCGGGATTACGGCGCTTAATGCTATAAATCTGGTTGGCTAGTATGCTGGGATTTAGTCCTCACCGCTGTGGTGGCTATGGACCGGCAGAAAAGCCCGAGATATCCACGCACTGAGGTGAGGCGCCCTAGGGGCGACATCCCAGCCCGGGTGCTGCTCTGCATAAGGAGCTAGGAGTGCGAGCCAGCTGGTCGTTTTATTATATATTTTTTGTCTTTCTAACACTTACGTCTCTGTCCTAAGTATTGGAGTAAAAAGCTCTGCATTTCATTGCAATGCTAAGTAACCGGTTAATTAGCGTAGTTTGCTATTTAAACACTTTGTTGTCCTTGTTTGGTTTTGGGGTGGGCAACAAAGTTGCCTAACAAGTAGCTGTCTGGCTTTAAGATGTAAAATGACCTTATAGTTATTATAAGTGAATGAATTTAGGGCAGGTTTTCAGACAGGGTGTGAAACTCAAGCGAGCAAGCCGGCTGTTACGCGCAGTTAACCGGAGCACTGGGCGATGCTGTGTCTGTTTATCTTTAAGGGCAATTTAGGCAACGTTATTGCTTTTTTCGTCTTTACATTTTAACAGCTTGGTTGTGGTTTCGGTGTACAGGTGTTGTTCGGTTGCTATCCGCACTAGTCCCATACACAGCCCCCGAGTTCATTCCGATGCAGAAGGATAAAGGTGAAGTAACGCCACGCCGTCCCCAGTCGCACACACAATAAAAAATGAGAATTAAAAAGAGCCCAATCACACCTCACAAGACCCCCCCTCTACAGACACACCACAACCTGCTCACAGCGCTTCCAGACCGGATTCATTTTTAAACACCTGTACCTTCTCGGGTTATGCCTTCAGAGAAAACCGTGTATAGCCGCCATGCCCTTTAAAACATTGGAAACGTCTTGGTTACAGTTACAGTTCAGCCGTCCTGCGTCACCTTGCCGGCCGGCGCTGTATGAAGTCTGCATCTCCTACGTGATCTCTCGGACTGGGACCTCGTCCATGCCTAGCAGATCGATATTTGTGACCAGGGGCTGCTTCCTATCGGCTTGTGTAATGACTGTGACCAGGATTTGTGTAAATCGTCTTTTTTTGCTGCATGGTGACCGTTTTAATTATCTAAATTTGGAGAATTATGAATGTTTTCTGGCATGGAAAATAGTCTGGGGAGTGTAGTTGCCTGACAATATATTCGCAAAATTTGTGCTTTCCTGCATTTGTAGTAATACTTTTTGACCCATTCTAGCTGGAAGTTAAACGTAATATTAAAATTAATATCAAACGCTTTTTTTAAAAAATCGCATACCACAGGTGTGTTTGAATTTTTGCAGCTGTATTTATGTCTGTATATATTTGTTACCTAGTTGCGTCAGACCCCACTTATAACTTTTTTTATTTTTTTTTATTTTGAAACTTTAAATGGTGTGAACATGTGTGAGTAAATAACCTCCAGTAAATCCCTTCCCACTCCATGGGAAGTTAAGATAGGATATATTCCAAGTTGCAAACATTCCATGGGAATTAACAGGAATATATGGGAATTAACTGGAAAATTCCCAGAATTTTGCAGCCCTAAACCAGATGCAGTTATCTAGGAAAACAACCCCATGTTTCAGTATGTTAGTGACTCGTGATGAGTTGCTTCGTTTAAGCATTTCTCCTGTACTACCTTGAGGAGACCACAGATGAGTTTTTCACCCCACAGACACCTTCCACATCCCAGGCTTGGGGAATGTCATTGTCAGTGGCAGATAGGTCTTGTAATGGAACTAGTGAGCACTGTAATTGTTGTAATGCTGTATATATTACTTAGTGAATCTGCCAGTTTCCCTTATTGTTTAACTCTATGACATATTGAATCGGGGTTTTAAAACCATGGAATTCTAGGGCCCTGGGCCTACATTGAAAAACATTTAATGCATCTTTCTCAGGTTTTTCAGTTTTGATTTTGTTAGTGTGTTTTTGGTAAATCCGCTGTCGGAAATTCAGATCTGTTGAAATGGACACCTTGTTTTGTTTTGCCACTCAGAATCGCTTATTTTTCGGTAAACAATATACATCCCATAAAGCAAGGAGTTCTGCAGTCATGCAGTATGAATGGCCCAAGTCCTAATATCTTTGTTGTACTATGAAGTCCTGATTAGCACCATATAAAATTAATCTAGCGCTATGAAAAGTGCTATTTCTTTATTGCTAATTGCTTATCTTAATTGTAAAATAATCATTAGTGTAATATTTTAATTAGCGTTCAGGACTATTATGGAACAAAGTTTTTTCCTCCAGTCGTACTTTTAGTCTCAAAGAAAAGTTAGCGCTCGAGGGTGTTGTGCAGCTACAGAGCTTTAAAGAGAGTCCCACGTGCTGCGTTGTGGGTATTTATGGTATAATTTAAATGCTGGAGATCAACCTTTGCATAGTGATAAATTCGGTCCTGCAGCACAGATAAGAACTTGAAGAGTGTGATGAATATGAGAGAACCATGGCAGTCTATCACCGAATCTTGTGTGTGCCCCTGTGATCCTAGAAATTAGAATATCTCACGAAATCTGAGTAACTGTCACATATGTTGGCCCGCGTGTGTCCGTTACCGTCATGTGGGTTTCCAGTGCCAGAAGCCTGAACCAGTAAGTGCAGCATGGCGGCATTTGAAGCTACCATTGTGGCGCTGCCTTTGTTTGACAACCTAGCTGCACTATAAATAATGAATAAAATAAATAAATAAAATCCAACTTTCTGTTTCCAGGGCTATTATTGCAAATGTTATAATTTGTTTGAGTGATGCAGTGTACAGGAAAGAAAGCTTCAGCTCCCCTCTTCCCATGTGGACACAAATTGTTTTGGACTTGTAAACAAGTGAAGCATTAGGGGATAAAAATGTTTGCAGTCTTAAGGACGTAAATACCCTGAATTAACGGATTATAAGGAAATACAAGTTGTTCAGCTAAGTTATTTGTGAAGACTTAGACTGGTTCCCTAAGTCTAACCGATGTAGCAGGAAGTATTGTAAGGTAACATAATAGTGAAATACCTTTAATGAGAAGCTCCTGTACTTGTTCCTTGATTTATGATTTATAACTTTACTGTTATTTATAGCTCCGAAAGCCAAACTTGTAGCTGAACCGGCTTCACTGTTGTGAATAATTTGGGTGGCGTAGGGTGCTGTAGAATTGGGCAGCCCTGCGGTTCTGTGCACATGCCCGTTCTTAATTCTGCAGTGGAACCTGAGCCGACATTGGCATAAGATCAAGAAGGGCAAAGGTCAGCCGTGGGGTTTCGCTGTGTCGGTGGGCGGCCAGTGTCTCGGCAGGCAGCCCTGGGGTCTCGCATCGCCAGTGTCGGGGGCTTGATTCCTGTCCCAGCTCATATGAGGTTAGGGCATTTTTTCCCCGCTGTGTGCGTTTCCTTCGCGTACTCTGCTTTCCCCCCCCCCGCGGTGATGATAATTGGGATGTCCCGTGTCATGTGCTCTGTGCTTCCTGGGATTGGCTCACTGTGAGTCTGTACTGGGTAAGTGCTTCTGGGAGATGGATTGATTGATTTCTCAGCATGGTGAGTTTTTCACCAGTGGGATAATTGTTTGGGTGAATATTCACATAGTGTGAGCAGTCAGGTTTGACCTAAAAAAATAACCTAAAAAAAGCCTCGAAGTGGTGTCTTACAGGATGGTGAAAAGTTATGATTTCTAGGCACGAGCTATTTAACCGTGTTGCCTTCACGGTAGGATTTGGCGGGGGGGGGGAGAGAAGGCGGAGCTTATCGTACGCCGCTAAATTAAGAATGAGTTACTTTGATTCATAAAGCAGGATTTTCCTTCTGTTGTCAAACAGGCTGGTGTGTACAGGTGTAGTAGCGGGAAGGTCATGAACAAACAGGATCAGCAGCAGATGCCGCTCAGTGCTGATTTGTATCGTTATATCACGTAGATTAAATAGTGCGTATGTTTGCGTGCACGTGTGCTGACATGCCGCGTCTGCAGAACTCGGTCCGTGTTTATGTGTGTCTGTGCATGTTTTCTCAGCACAGATATTGCATAATATCTAATGTTCATATGTGATACATGTAGTATAATATCACCTCCATCTGACTGTTTTGTTACTTTAGTGCAGAAGGGTTTCAATGGTCCTTAATTTATAAAAAAAATTTTTTGCGGGTTCAGTGTTTTCAGCAGCGTGTCCAGCGTTGTTTCCTGATGGGACAATAACAGGATAACAGGAAGCCTGTGAATGTGAGCGCGTACATCCCTAAGCGCACCCCAGACGCTGCTCTGTCCTTCAGGGTGGCTCGAGAAAACACCTCGTCACGGTCGCACACCGTTATTCGGGCTCTTTGTCATGTGGTCGTGCCACCTCTGTACACGCTTGGATTATAATTTTTTTTTTTGTTGTTGTTGGAATCTTTGTAGCGCAAAAGCTTGCTCCTTTTTAAACGTGTGAATCTTGACTGCTCTGCTACAAATGATCAAACTGGGTAAATTACTGTTAATATATGTGTGATTTTTGTGCTTCATTAGAGGGCTGTAACATGAACGTGTAGATGCTGCATTCTGCTCGTGCACCAGACCTGGTGCTATGTGGTATATATAAATGCTGAGTGTGTGCTTTGTGTGCCGGTGCTGCTGCTCCTCTGTGGGTCGTCTAGAGTTGAACTGGGAGAGGTGGGATACCCAACAGAAAGTGGGTTACAGTGTGGTGAAGGACACCCATCGTAACGTGGGTTACAGCGCGCTGAATCTGATTGGGAAAACTAATTAGAAGTGAACTTAGTCTGTTAATCATGACACTGTGGCAGCAGAGTGTGGCTCATTGATGACTAGATGATGCAGTGAAAAGTGAACAAAGAGTGATGGTCTGTCTGTCTGTGTGTTTCAGGCCAGCCTGTCCATGTGGGGATGGGGATCTCTCGGAGTGCTGCTCTTCCTCATCACATTTGGACCCTTTGCGATATTTTACTTTGCTTTTTATGTCTTCTGCTTCCTTGGCGGGTGAGTCGACTGCTCGAGCTCCACTGTGTCAGACAAGCAAGAAAAGTCGCTTCCCCCCCCCCCCCCCCGAAACATTACATATCTGTCTGTAAGAGACCATGTGTAATTTTGACTTTGAAATTTCAGCCTCACACCTGTGGCTGGTTGTGGTCCGAGAGCCGTCTCGATGGCCGACTGACGACGTTCTGCCCCCCCTTGTTTCCGCAGAGGCTTCGCCGTTACACTTTTATTCGGGAAGACGAACTCCGAGAAACACCTGGAGAAATGCGAACACTCCTACCTTCCAGCCACAGCGACCGGCATTCCCAAGGTAGGCTCTGTTATGCAAGAGCATCGGGGACATGGTTTGCCAGGGGCGGGCAGACAAAATGGTAGAAATTAGGATTCCAAGAGGGGTGAGATTCCCATGCAGATGTAACCCAGTGGCAACAGTGTGACAAACCAGTTTGAAAAGAGGTTAACTTAGTTTGTGATTGACAGCTGGCAACCCCAGTTACTGTGACATCATAGAGTAGCAATATGCATTCTAGCAAGTACTGAAAAAGTGACATACACGTTCTATAAAAGTCAGTATCACAGCTGCTCTTTGGTCTCTTTTCCCATACTTCTTGTCCCAAATGTCGCCGATCCCAAGACGTTAGACGAAATGAAACTTGAATCCAAGCCCATCAAGATAGACAGACGACTGACAGGTTCCAGCTTTATCGATGAGCCTTTGCAGCAGGTAAGAGCTCCACGCAAGTCTTCTGCTCGGATTTCACGTTCTGTAAAAGTCTCTCAAGTGTGTTTATTTTTGGACGCGGCAGCAGGTCAGCAGGTGACCCTGAAAGCCCGAATGCAGCGCCGTCGTCACACCGTCTCTGGCCGTGTCTGATGTCGGACTTACTGACGCAGCGTCTCTCTCATTTTGGATTGCTGATGGCGCCTTTTCTTTCTCCGATATTTTGCCCTATTTTTTTATTCTGCTAAGAGAGCGCTCTGGCTTCCTGATTTAACTGCAGTTCAGGACGTACACAGTTAAAAATACTCTGTGACCACAGTGACCGCAGCGAGACAGTATCTACAGATGTAACCCCCCCCCCCTCACACACACAAAAAAACCCAACAATGACTATCATGTGCATGACCAACGTGATGGTCGCTTATCAGTCTGATTTGCTGGCTAAGCATCTTCCTAACCGCTGTTCGTGGTGAGGACCAGGTCTGACTGATGCAGTTTTCGCAGTGGACCTGGACAATCACCCAAACTGTTGCTGTAGTGTATACAGCATGGGAGGGGGGCTTTGCTGAACTGGGAAACACCGGCCTGTAACACTGCCCCTGGATGCCTGTTTATATGCATTTGCTGGCATATAAACTTACTTAGTCCGTTTGTATCCGTGGGTGTATCACACTCAAATCACCGGCTGTCGTGGGAAAGGTGCAACACCCTATAGTTTCCCATGTCTCACCCATGCTGCCTGCCGTTATGACTGCGCCCGACGTTTCACGGCATCTGATGCATTGACAGAACAGTAATGCTCTGCAGCCTCATGGTGGTGTCACTCATCCCCAAAGCTCCCTGCCTTTGCCCAGTACAGACATGGGGCACAGTGACCCATATTCCTGCTGCTCTGTCGGAGGAAGCCTGCGCCAGATCAAAAACAAACGTGTTAAATCCAAAATTATTTGAATATGTTTATCTGATTATATAGTACTGTAATTATGTAGAGGTGTGCCTGTCATTTCTTTACGGTCTTTGCTTGGGCTGGAATGTTCACTTGCATCACAGTGGTGATTCTGAATAGTCATGTTTGTATTGTGATAAAGCCGCATTTTCATTCTCGGTTTCCGTTATTGCCTTGTCTTTTAAAGGTTATTCAGTTTGCGTTGAGGGACTACATCCAGTATTGGTACTACACCCTGAGCGATGATGAATCCTTCTTGCTGGAAATCAGGCAGACTGTTCAAAACGCTCTCGTCCAGTTTTCCACGAGGTAACACCGCGATGTTGCGTCAAGGCCACCGTTGCGTAACAGGCTTCTCATGCAAGCGCCAGCCTGTTGTTGTTGCGAAACGAGTCGGCATTGTTTTCCGGGGTAAAAAAATGACCCCTCCCCTCTCGACAGGTCGAAGGAAGTGGACTGGCAACCGTACTTCACCACCAGACTGGTAGATGATTTTGCCACACACCTGCGGGTCTTCCGGATGGCCCAAGAGAGGCTGAATGAGAAAGAGGACTCCAAACAGCGTAAGAGCAGCACGGAGGATGCTGGCTCTGCTTGCTGAAGCAGTGCACTGGGCACGTTTGTTCCTATGCTGCTATGTTGTGTAATTCCCCTGTAGTTGATGGGTCATGTTTATCCTTCCAGTTAAACTCATCTTACTCATGCTGTTTCCTGGAAAGGAAATTCTGTTGGGCGCGGAGGGCACACAGCTGACGCCTGAAGCGCTGATAGTTAGTCAAACCTCAAAGATTCAGATGGAACAGTAGTTGTTTGTTTTTCAGTGAATATCACGGATGCTTCCATGCATGGAATGGGGAGATATGGTGCTTTTCCACTGGCATACAGAAACCGGGCCGTACCTGAGCTGTACCAGTTACAATGCAGTTCCAGCTCACGGATTTTCCACAGCAGATGGGTCATTCCGGTAAAGGTGTTGCCGGGTTTGGAGAGCAACAGTGACGTAAAACCGAAGAGACTCTTATTTACTGTTCACACGATGTACGATTTACTATACGCCAGTTTTCGGCTAGCACGTCTGTGAGAATCCCCATGTTATGTTAGCATCAATCGCTAGCAGAGTTAGCATTAGCTTGCGTTGATTTGCTTTTCAAATCCATTCCATTTAGCCATTCAATAGTACGTTTTAAGTAAGAAGTTATTGGGAATGCATCAGTATGTCACAATATATGATACAACTAATAATGTATATAATGTCCTTTTAACCTTTAGGTAATCAATATACATATTGGCACTGATCACTGGTATCTCCATGCATTTCAACCAGATAGATGGTGGTGATGCAACCAGCTCAGTTTAATCACGTTTTTGGCCCTGCTAGTAAGCAAGGCCTTCTCAGGATGGGTACGGTTTGGGTGTGGCCCAGCTCTTGGTGGCAGTGGAAAAGCGCCCTTAGAATTGGCCATCAAACGCACCTTGACGTAGAGCTTGGCTTCACATTGGCACTCTTGCAGGAGAGGCCCCTGAGGAGTTGCTGGATTCATTTTTTGAGGCGGAGGTTGAGTTGGAGAGGAAGATCTGCCGAGATGTTGTCTGCACCGCTCCCAAAGATGAAGAAGGTGTGTCTCCATCTCCAGGCCTGGTGTTCGTTGGTTTTTCCTCCATCTGCTCTTTGTGTCCTCAAACCGTTCATCGCATGGCCCTTGTTTCCCATTCAGTTCTACAGATATATCCGTTAAACCCAACAAACTGGTAGAATTTGCTTTTTTGAACTTGATTTAGATTTATAATTTTTCAATTTGACCTTAGTAGGTTGTGTTAAATCAACATGTATCAATATGTCACACCTTTAGGGTGCAGTTTCAGGAAGTCAGGTGGCAAAATGGTTGGGAGATCCATGCAGTGGTGGTGTTTACAGTCACTACACTAGCAGGGTGGAGGGTCCCAAAGTGACTTACAGTGGGGTCCACTGAAATGACAAACCCGAGCCTTGCTTCGTGATATGGGCCCCCGACTGTTTGTTCTAGCATACTGTATACTCTTCTGAGGTGGGGTTGAGCCTGGGTCCCACAAAGGGCCGTTTCATTTTGGCTGCCGCCGTTGTTTGTGTATAATTTGCATTGTGCCGTTGCAGTCCCTGACCATACCGATGCTTCTCCGTCACAGGCTTTCTGAGGGACTTGTGCGAGGTGCTGCTGTATTTGTTACTACCTCCAGGAGACTTCCACAACAAGAACATGAGATACTTCCTCAGGGTGAGTCTGGATCGTTGTTGAATATTTATTGGAGGAAGTGGGGATTCTGTACGGGGGTGTCATGTGTGACATGGCTACAGGTGTGACCCCCCCCTCACCCTGAGTGACTTATGTCTCTGTGATACATTCATAGTCTGGCAACAGAAGACAAACAAAGTTCTGAAGAGGGGTGTGGTCTTGCATTTAAAGAGGCAGTGCGCCCTTTTACTGCAATTTTCATTGGTTGTTTTACTATGAAATAGTAGCCACATCTTATCAGTTCTCTATTCAGCTGTTATTGGTATAAAGTTCAGCATGTATTGAGTTTGAGGTATTTGAATTGTGTCTTAAGGTAGTCAGATCTGCAGTGTTTGTGCTCCTAGTTTGTCAGGGAGGGTCAAGTGTGAAATTTCAGGCACGATGAAGGCCGTGTTAATTTCTGAAGAGGCAGGTGTGACTAGAGTGTTTCTCACCCCCCCAACAGGAAATTCTTGCAAAGGGTGTTCTACTGCCATTGATCAATCAGCTGAGTGACCCAGATTATATTAATCAGTTTGTTATATGGATGGTAAGTGACCCGTAGTCTCTTCTGACTTGGTTATTGTGTGTAATCAGTGGGCAGCATTGCAGCTCCGCACCTGAGATGGACCACTGATGGTAAGGCAGGAGAGCCCCTGCCTCATTCAGACTCTCACGCATGACGTCTTTACGCTAAATGCTATGAAATACCACAATCCCCCTCCTCCCCCCGTGGGCTAACTGCTGGCTGTGGACTGCAGATCCGTGACTCGAGCTCCAACTACGAGGCCTTCATGACTGTCCTGAAGCTGACGGACAAGCCATCCGAGCTCGAGGCGGTGAAGGACAAGGCCATGGAGGAGCTGCAGTACCTCCGCTCGCTGGACACTGCCGGGGACGGTAGGGGGGCGTCCTGACTGCTAAACGTAACCTATTTAATTGGAGAAGCCCTCATTAGCCATGTGCCTGTATTCTCATACATTTAGTAATGTCTCTCTCTTTCCATCCTTTTGTAGATATAAATATGATAAAGAATCAGATAAATAGTTTACTCTTTGTGAGAAAAGTCTGTGAAACCAGAATTCAGAGGCTGCAGTCCGGCAAGGTAAGGACAACCGAAATATTCTATGGTGCATTTTTTTCTAAATGTTTTCAATAGTCTCTGGCTCCTGCTGGCGCCCCCCACTGGTAGGAGTCTTGTATTGCATTGCCTGTATTCTGACCGCTCGGCACCGGTTGATCATTACGTATTTGTGATGTGGAATAAGCCGGCGACTTCGTTCCTGTGCGCTGAGCCATGTTGACTGAGCACTTCCGCCTCCGTCCTTCCCTGACAGGAAGTCGATGCCCTGAAGCTGGCGGCCAACTTTGGGAAACTCTGCATCATACCTCTGGAGCACATCTTGGTCCACAACATCGCGCTGCAGTTCTTCATGGGTAAGCGCTGTCTGTCCGCCGGTCTGTGCCCATCGGTCTGACGCTGGGGAGCAGATTCCCCCATCAGCAGTCTGCCTTACGTTGCCCCCACCCCCAAATCCCAGACTACATGCAGAAGATGGGCGGCCAAGCGGATCTGTTCTTCTGGCTGACGGTGGAGGGCTACCGGGTAACGGCCCAGCAGCAGCTGGAGGCCATGCTGAGCTGGCAGAGAGACGGCCGCAAACAGGGCAGCCAGACCAAGGGGCTGCTCAAGGCCGCCGCCCTAGGGGTATACGAGCAGTACCTCTCTGAGAAGGTGAGTGCCTCTTTGGCGTCCCCACAATGTCGCTCCTTCATTCAAAAATTAGCTGTTGAGCATTGCCTTGACATTAAGAGTTTATGGGAAGAAATGATGGCCAGTAGTTTCCCTTTGAAAGTGCTTTCATTGTTTATCCCCTTACACAGCAGAAGTACGAGATTATTGAGGATTATTAAAAAGATGGCCCCAATTGGTGAAGGTCCAGATGGGGGTGGGGCCAGATGGGGGCGGGGCCAGGTGGGGAGGGGCCAAACCGAGCTGTGCTCAGATAGCTTGTGGTTGTTCCCAGGCCTCCCCCAGAGTTCAGGTGGATGAGGCGCTGGTGGCCAAGCTGGCAGAGAAGCTGAACCAAGAGGACCCCACGCCGGAGATATTTGACGACATCCAGAGACGGGTACATCACCCCCCGCCCGCCAGCCCGGATTTATAATTCTGCGTTATGTGTTTTGTGTAGCGCGTGACACTGTGAAGTCGTGATGTGGGTGGGGTCGGCGCCCTTCTGATGGGGCGCCCTTCCTGTGCCCCAGGTGTACGACACGATGCTACGCGACGAGCGTTTCTACCCGTCCTTCCGGCAACATCCCCTGTACGTGCGGATGCTGGCTGAGCTGGACATGCTGAAGGAGCCCAGCTTCCGGGGCTCCGACGATGGGGAGGGAGGTGAGCAGGAGGGGGGGGGAGGGCCCTGAAGGGGGGTGGGCTGATGCTTGGATTGTTAGTGACAGGGCGATTAGATCCATGCCCTCTACTGCTGAGATGCTGAATAGTCACTAAAGCAGATTTACACACACGTTACACACACGTTACACACAGCCGTGCTCCAGCTTGTGCTTGGCAGATGCATTAACCCAGCTGGATGTTTTTACTGGGGCATTACTGGTTAAGCACCTCGCTCCACCCGTAACTGGAACCGGTAAAATTTGGGTCACAAACTCCGCGTCCCCATCGCTGCTCTACAGAGTCTCACGCTTGCTTTTATTTTAACTTTCTCATGCGTGTGCGTGTGGTTACATGTCCGTTGCGTGCAGGATCTGCTTCCCAGAAATGCAGAGAAATCAGCGGTGCGCGTAACCCGCTGTCGCAACATGTCTGCATCCCTGTCGGGTGGGGGCGGGGGTGGGGGTGGGGGCCCCCGCAGCGGCCTGTGGCTCAGCTTCAAGCCGGTGACAATCAGGATGATTCTGACAGAGGCAAAGATATGACATCAGCAGCCCCCTGCATGTTTTCTTGCTCTTGGGGACGGGAATTTAACCTGAAACTTATACGAGACACTTGTATCTGTATTTATTTAACCTTTAGCTGGGCCCCGAGGCAGGAATAGCACGGGTATCAAAGCGTTACCTTAATGACAAACACATTAGGGTTCGAGGGCTGAAGTGAACAGCCTGGCAGAGGGAGTTTCGGCTTCAGGGGGCGGGATTATACCGTGCTGGTCTCACTTTCATGCCGGCCGTCCAGCTGTTTGCCTTTTGCATTCCTGCGGTGACGCCCAGCTGTGAAATGTCACCTCTGCCTCAGCCGCTGCACCCCTGCCCCCCCTTCTGACCCCCTTCCGGTGACAATCGGTTCCCTTATTCAGGACCACAGGCTGTAGGTTACAGGTAGACAGTCCGCTGGAGCTGTTTTTAGATAGATTAGCTACAGGTGCTGCCCGTGTCTGACAGATTGCATGTGGTGTCTGCCTTTCCTGTGTTCCACTTCTGTATTTCCCTCCACCCCCCCCCCAGTAGTTGGGGAGTGTATCCTTTTCTGAAATGTCTTTTATTCTTGGCCTTCCTCTTGATTTTGATTTTTTCCATTATTTCTTTTGTCTTCCCACAGAATCGTTCAATGGCTCTCCGACGGGGAGCATAAACTTGGTAGGTGTCCCGTCATCCGAACTTAAATGTTTCAGGATCTGTTGTCTGAAAAGTAGGATAACGGCAAATGCTCGAATGGACAAGTACGGCCTCTGTCAGAGTTCAGGGGTAGATCCCATTTCCTGGGGGGGGGGGGTGTAAGACTTGTTAGCCCACCTGTTCTGATGTGGATTGTTTACCCGGGTGGGGAGGATGTGGGGTAAAATTTGAACGGAGGGGAGTCCGCATGTGGGAAATGATGAAATCGGCCGTCTCACTCCGAGCGCCTCTGTCTCCGTCGCTTTCAGTCTCTGGACGACCTCTCGTCCGCAAGCTCTGAGGAGGCTTTCCAGCTGCACGCGTTCATCTCCGACACCGGTACGTACGCCGGCCTCGTGCAGGACAGCCGTGCTGCGGGCCGCCTTGCGATGGGTCGCCTGTCACAGTTCCCAGATCTAACGATATAACCAGATGGTCATTAAAATAAACGCCTGTTCCTGAACGCTGGCTTGTTTTTGAGAAAGTTGATAATTGCACTTTTGCTTGTAAATATTTCGGGGGAAGGTTTGGGGAAGGCGTGCGTTTCTGGGGTGTGTCTTTACCCTGGGATTTGTATTATTCCCATCGCTCTACTCCCATCTCTTGCCCCCCCCCCCCCCTCCTGAACGCACCCTGTCCCCTTGTTCGCCAAGGGCCTCTTGTTGTCATCTGAGATCCTGTCATTTCATCACTTTACTTTTTATTCTGTTTTTCCTTCTCTCATGATCCCATCCCCCCTTTCCTGCCTGCCACCTCCCGCCACTATATGCTTGGCTGCCTCTTTCTTTCCTTCTTTTTCCCCCTTTTTTGCCCCCCCCCCTTTCTCTCACTTTTCCTTCTGCCAGCTTTAGTACCTGATACTTTTTTAACCCAACTTCCCGTGGCAGGCGTGTGTAATGACCACGGGAAGACCTACGCTCTGTACGCCATCACTGTGTTCCGGAAGAATCCGGACGGGAGCGAGGACTGCTGGAAGACCTACCGTCGCTATAGCGACTTTCACGACTTCCACATGCGCATCACTGAGCAGGTGGGTGATCCTGGAGAGAGCGGCCTGGTCAGACGATGGATCCTCACTGAAGGGTTTTACAAAGTTGTTCCTGTGTGTGCGTGTTCGTGTGTGCGTGTTCGTGTGTGCGTGTTCGTGTGTGTTTGTTTGTGTGTGTGTGCGTGTGTGTGTTCCCCATAGTTCACGAATCTCTCAGCCATCCTGAAGCTTCCGGGGAAGAAGACCTTCAACAACATGGACAGGGACTTCCTGGAGAAGAGGAAGAAGGACCTCAATGCCTACCTCCAGGTGGGGGCCGCTGTTTGCTTACATGTTAATGGTAATAAGCAGTAAGGGGGGGTGTGAGGCTCCGCAGATTAGGACATTGTGTCTGTGATCAGAAGGTCGCTGGTTCAAATCCCAAGGTTGACAGAGTGATTTCACCGTTCAGCCCTTGAGGAAGTCCCTTATCCCCCAGTTGCTCCAAACACTGTCCGCCACTGTCCACTGTCTTTTTCAGCTGTACGCTGCTTTCTGCGAATGCAGAGTCGGCATTCAGTCACGGTGGATTTGTTTTTAAAGTCCGTGCCTCATGCAGTGTGTGTCGCCCTTGTCGAAGTGCGATTCCACGCGTTCCCTGTACCGACGCCTTGCGTCCCCTGGCATGCCGTACCGCTTATGAAGCCGGTTTATCGGCACTCATATCGCCGGTGGTGTCAGCCAGAAGCCCCCCCACCGTTTCTCACCGGCTGGTAAAAGCAGGGCTGGTCAAACTCGACATGCTTGTCTCAGACGTGCTTAAGGTCGACGCTCGGATGCTTCTGCCTGCCTATCTGGCGCACATCTGCCCTGCATCCTGCTCGACGGTTTTTCTGTGTTTCCTCCTGGCTTCGGTGACGCTGCAAACGGTCCCTCGGGACACGCTAACGAGTCTCGCAGCTTTTGTCACTGAAGTGTCAGCCAGAGGGCTCCCCTAATTACTCGCCGGCTCGTAAAAGCAGAGCCGGCCAGAGGCGGCGACTGCACTCGCCGGGGAGAGATTAGCGGGACGTCACGCTGGACGCACGTCTGGGGGGCAGGTGCCTTCGGCTTTCCTGTGCTCCAGTGTCACCCTTGGCTTTTCACGCTGCGGTGTCAAGCCTGTCTGCTTATTTACTGCAGCCTCTAAACAAGACCCCGTCCGTGGCTTCCGGCGTTTTCTGTGTGATGGCATCAGCGACAGTCTGTTCAGTAAAATACTTCCCATTGAAAACATCTCTCTTTTCATACCGTGCTAATTCTGTCAAATTATTCTGCTCCATTGTTTGTGGAGCTTTTTAAAATTCTGCTTTTTGCATTTACTGTAAAATACATTAATAAGGATGTTCTTTGTTAATTTTATTTTTAAAAGTTCTGGAAATTCTGCTCCATAAGGGAGGTTTTCTGTCCTGGTTTTCCGGCAGTGATCTCTCCTCATACGAAAGGTGTCCCGGACAGAGTAAAGACGCTTTTGTCCTGAAGTCGGGTCTCACACCCTTCATGTGATTGGGGTGTGGCGCATGCGTGCCAGGTGAAAGGTCACTGAGGCGATGTGCTATTGGTGCTTGTAGCTGTTGCTGAACCCAGAGATGGTGAAGGCATGCCCCACCCTCACGCCGTACGTGAACGACTTCCTGGAAAACAAGGCCTATAGCAAGGGCAAGGGGGAGTTTGCGCGAAAGGTAGGAGCGCCACCTACTGTTCACATTTGTTTTTTTCTGAATGTCGTGAAAGTACCCAAAATACATTGGATGTTTTGTCTGGGGCCAAATGTTATAGGTCTTCCCAGCTTAGTCTAAGCTTTGCCAGTTATCGCTTGCTTGGGTTCTGGGAATGTATGAGTTAGACTTCTGTGACGTGGATCACTTGATAATCTCAAGAAAGGAATTTATTTAAATATAAAACAAGGCCCCTTTAAATGGAAACGACAACGTTAAAAAAAAAAAAAAAAAAACGTGGAAACAAAGAGAAGGTTCAAGAGAAGTTAGTGGTAACTAACTAACTACTAACTACCTGTTGCTTTCCTCACCTGAAGCTCCTTAAATCCTCCCATCTCCCTCTGCAGCTACATAGCTGGCCCATCTTACTCCGAACAGGGTAATCGATCAATAAGAGCCAGCTGGGCGTCATTAATGCATCTCTGTTGGCCTGGGGGCCTGCTGATTGGCTGACAGTATGATGATCTCCAAGCCACTACCTCGTGTTTATCATATGTGTAGCGGTACGTTAGTGGGTATCTGGAAAGTAAGCGTGTGTGACGGGGTGAACGAGCGCGTCCTCCTCCCCCAGATGGACGTTTTTGTGAACCCGTTGCGCAGCTCCATGCGAAACGTGTCCAACGCCGTGAAGTCTCTGCCCGACAGCCTGGCGGAGGGCATGACCAAGGTGTCCGACAACATGGGCCGCATGTCCGAGAGGCTCGGCCAGGACATCAAGCAGTCCATATTCAAGGTGAGGAAATGGCCACCGGCCGGGAGGGATGTGGGGGCATTTAAAAGCCAGTTCATACTTCACTTTTCTATGTGCGCTTTCGGTTGCGGTCGGTGACGTAGATTTCGGCTGGACGACCGCGGTTAGGACGAGTGCAGCCCAGATTTTTATGTCAAGTGGAAACTGTGCATCGCACATTGATCGCACATGTGCATAGTTCGGTATTTCCAGTAGGTGGCAGTGTGCATTTTCACAGATCAGCTGTCAACGACGAGAGGGTAGAGAAAGAATAGCTGTTATTGTTGCTGCCGTTGTCAGCAGATGTATGAGGAAGGTTGAAGGGTACCTGCAGATCTGATTTCTCAAACTGTTCAGACATTATACCAAGATATTTTAAAAAGCGGCACTATTCCCACCTAATCGCAAGGATTTCAGAATACTGTGGTATGCCTTATTACCGTGATATCGCATAAGCCTTGACTATTACTTTTATGTACATGTTTGAAGATTACCCATTTCACTACACTGCCCTCTGCTGGTGTGGTGGAATATCACTGCTGTATGCACACACTGACCGCGACCATCCGCATCCACAGCCAAATGTAGCATGAACACAAGCTGCCGTGTGCACAACCATCTGCAGCCTGAAAGTATCAACTAGGCATAATTCTCCCTTCTTGGACGTCTAGGCATTAATGCTAACTCCCTCCACACGGACTTCTGTTGAGTACATTGGCACACTGCATAATTGAGGTGCAGTGTAACATTTCAGTGAAGTGATATACATACATTAAGATGTGCGTATGAGTGTGTAATAGATACACACCGCTGTGGGAGTCTCGCCGTGGACTGCGGCCCAGCGAAGGCGGTTTGCCATGCGACGGCTTTCTTGCTGAATGTGTGAAATGGTGCATGACGCTGGCTGCCATGCTCAGTTTGAACTGTAAGCACTGTGGGTTTATGCTGTTTACTGAGAACTGAACGAGGGCTCTGCTCTTCACATGTTTTGTTTGACGCGCTCAGATTTGATGACGTTCGCGCAAAAGTCGAAATGTCACCTTCAGCTAGATGATCCGTGTGTCGCACGCTGAGATGGAATTATGATCTCTTTGGTCATAGTGCAAGAAACGGTAATGAATGTTTTTAAACACATACTGAAACATGGACATGGATAAAAATGCAGTTAAAAATACATGGGTAATGAAATTGAAGGGACAGAATGTGCAACAATAGATTTTGGTTACAGTGTTATAATTCCAGTGTAGACAGGGACACTGTAACCAAAATCTGTCTGGGGAAGGGGCTTGAAGTTTTCACACATTATTCTATGTGATGTTAGAGAATGTCACTTTTCTGTGTCTGTTTCTCTGAATATAACACTTCCTCAAGGAGATTTTCAAAAAGGAAAGTGTGATTCTCCCCCGCCCCCTTCCCAGTTTCACTTTCAAAGTCCACCAGTAAAAAATCGCATTCTTTACTGGCCTGAAAAGTTCTGAGTTTCGAATAAATTAAAAACAGGATCGACACGTGGATTTTAAAATAGTCTGTTCATAAGCTTGTCTTTATTTAAGCTGTATAGCGGAAGAGCCTATTTAATGTTGAAGGGAGGGTGAGCTGGCCCGCTTGTTTGGGCCGTGGTGCTCATACAGGGTTTCCTGCGTCTCACGCCGCAGTGTCTCGCTGTCCACAGGTGCCGCCTTTGATGGCAAAGTCAGACATCGACCCCGAACACTTCCGCATCTCAGCCCAACTGGACGACAACGTGAGTTAGCCACCCCCATTTCCCTTCTGCTGTGGGTCAGTCTGCTTCATCTTGGGGAAAGGTCATATGTGTAACAGGACAGTACCATGATCAGAAAGGGGGGGGTTGGGGTAATCGGTCCAGCATCGGATCAGGATTGTGTTTCACTTCCCTGAAAGTTCAGAGCCTTTGTAGTCACCTCCACCCCCACTACTTTTCCTGTCAAATAGTCACTTAATTTTTTTTAATTATTATTACTGATGATGTTTTGTTTTTTTAATATAAAAAACCGCTGGATCAGTTCTTCCTAAATGAAGCCAAAGCTGTAAATGTCGAAACATGGCCGTCCATGACCTGCGTTCTGTGTATTCCAAGTGCAGGGGTGGCAGGATCAGCGCCTATGCCCTCAGAAACAAGGGCCCCATATTACTGCCAGGGAACCGTCTTTGAGGAAGATCAGAACCAGATTTCTGTCATAAATTCACTACGGTGTCTCTGCTTAACATTTTTCCTCGTCACCTCAAAGTGTTCCGTCAGCTGCCTGTAAGCTTAAGTAATATAATCGTCCACCCCTTTGGTAATTGCCCTGTTTCTCTTCTCCAGAATGTCCCACAAAACAATTTTCATTTTGGAACTAGTTTCTGGGGAACCTGATTCCCCACAGATGCATCGCTCGGAATTGTTCTCGATGTACCGTAAAGGGAGTAACCGGCGGTGACCTTTAACCCCCATAGGTGGACGACAATATTCCTCTGCGTGTGATGCTACTGCTGATGGACGAGGTTTTCGACCTGAAGGAGAGGAATCAGTGGCTGAGGAGGAACATCAAGAACCTGCTGCAGCAGCTCATCCGTGCCACCTACGGGGACACCATCAATAGGTTAGGGGACACGGTGGGCTCTCGCGCGGGGACGCCGGCGACGGGAGCAGCCGGCACACTCACACCTCCGGGGAGCTGCTTGCACACATATACGGGGACGTGTTGACTGGTGTCACACCCTGTCGCCACACTTGTCACTTGAGTTTAAGATCAGTAAGTATTTGTATTTAACTTATTAAACCTCTGCATCTCCCCCCTCTTGTCCTCCAGGAAAATCGTGGATCATGTAGATTTCATGACATCCCCAGAGCAGGTGGCCGACTACGTGAAGCGATTTAGGCAAGTCGTAGCCTGCGGCTCGCGTTCCGGAGCCAGTCCGTGAGCCGGGCCGCCGGCCGGTGGTACTTATGTATGCTGTCGGGCCCTTGCAGGGACTCCTACTGGCCTAACGGGATCCTGGCAGAGACTCCGCCGCGGAGGGACAAGAGCATCCGCATGAAGACGAGAGTGGCTGCCAAAACCAGCCTGCTGGGGATTATGCCAGGTGGGGGCGCTGTGGAGGCGTGAGTGCAGGGAGGGGGAGACTGGTGGCCGGTTCCTGGTTACGGGAAGGCGCATCTGTAATCGGTTCCAGAACGCGTGACCTTTGGTTGGAGAAGGTCGATTTCTTTTTGTTTGTGTCACAATGTGAGATCATACGTCATAGCTAGATTATATTATACTGCATCTAATTACAGACAAAAGAAATACCGCAGACGAATAAAGCAACACATTTTACTCAGTTTAGGATTTGTTAACACTAATAATGTGAGAAATGAGGCTTGAAACCAAAACTTGGTGGGATTATCCTGTATCAGCTGGTTTAACTTGTGACCAGTGTGATGCATTCTCAGTTCCTGTTGAGTTTAAACCAGGCCACAAATGGCTACACCCAGTAATCCCACATGCATTTGGATTCGGAGTGTTTTTTTTTTTTTTTTTTTTTGTCATCATACCCATAATCCCTCACTGCCGCGCTTCTTGTTTCTCGTGTGGGCACAGACGAGCTGAAGCACATCATCGGGGCTGACACCACGCGCAAAGGCATCCTGCGGGTCTTTGAGATGTTCCAGCACCAGCAGCTGAACCGCCGCCTGGTCTACGTGTCCTTAGAGGGCTTCCTGGAGACCATGTTCCCACAGTACAAGTTCCCCGAGCTCTTCGTCAAGCTGTACTCGCGCTCCGAGCGCACGCTCAAATACTCCAAGAGACTCAAGACGGCACAGAAGAGGTGACACCCCACCCCCCAACACCACCATCACCTGCAGCGCGGGCCGTGCTGCCTCCTGATCGACAGGTCAAAGCTTTGGCGACACGGGAGACGGGGGGGAGGGGTTGGGCATTCGAAAATCAGCTTTGCAGACCGTGTGTGGACTTACACCGCCCAGCCCCCCCCTCCCCTCCCACTTGCCCCATCACTTAGTTGCGGGCACTATACCAATGTGGTTGTAGCATAGAAATAGTTTTATCCCTATGAAGAAGTATTGAACACTAAACATGCATACCACTGAGAGACATGTGGTGCTTAACACACATCAACGGCATCCAGTACTTATTTCAGTTTTATTATCATTTTAATGATTGTGAGAATGAGGGATTCCTCCCATTTGGAATTCGTGTTAAGATGCCCGAACGTTTTTCATCATCAACGTGCACCATACACAGATACTGTGTACTTTTAAGGAGCTCGATGAATAGAGCGGTAGCAGAGATGTTCGCGTCCCGCCGGCTTTGAGGCAGGGGTACAAGCTAAAGGCTAGAGGTCTTCAGTCTTAGACGCAACTTAGATTGTGCTTCGCCAACTTGTAGTACATGAAGAGTTCGCGACGGCAAAAAATACGGCTGGCGGTGTGACAGTGTGACGTTCTTTAGTGCTTCGTTAGGAATTTTTTTTTTTCTCGGGGGAGAGCCGACAGGAGAAGTCACCGTCTTCAGAGTTTGCACCCCCATCTGTGAAGCTCCTCCCTCCCCCCCCCCAGTTCTGCCATGGACCAAGCGATGGCTGGGGTTCCTCCTCCTCTGTGCATCGCACGTTGGGCAAAATGCACACAGCTGCTCATCTTGGGCCCTTCCGGGGGGGCGTGTGGAGGGGGGGGCGTGGATTTAAGAGAAAGGTGACTGTGAAACCGTTTTGATTGTCTGTCCAGGCTGGTGGGCCATGTTTCCGTTCGTATGGAGCACACCAAGGCGTACGGTCCAGAACAAAACCTTCTCCAAGGACCGTCTGGTTTAACCCCACGCAAGTCTGCTCCTTTGTGAAGACTGGATATGTTGGGTTTTTTTTTTTTTGTTTTAAACTTTTTTTTTTCTCCTTAATTTTAGAAATGTGTAGCACTAAAATGCAACCCTCTCAAGTCAGAAAACTGTGCCACTGTATGATAGAGAATCAGCCTTAATATTTAACAAATGACCAACAGAGGAGCGGCAGCAGTGGCCCTCACTGGCAGTTGACAAGCTGCATTTATAGGATTATAATTGATTTCTGAAAAATATCCAAACTTAATCATTGCGTCATAGAATATGTAATTCTGTGCAATATTTTTCTTTAATGCATGTGTATTTGAGAAATTGTATATTGAAAGCCGTTATTGTACTGAAATGTTGAAAGAACCTGAAAAGATGGGTCTTCTGCACCCAACTCGCATTCTGTTATTTTATCATTTTATTTAAGGACTTGTTTTATAAGTCTTTTTTTTTTCCACTCCTCCGTAGTCTAACGTTCGTTGACGATGGGCACTGTTCAGCTGAGCATGGCTTTCAATCAGCAAGCAGGACTGCAAGAACACATGGCAAAGCCCCCTAATGTGTTGTCAGCGTAGACGCATATACATGGAGGTGACGCGGATGCGTTTCACAATATATCCGGTCGTATCTGCAAACCATGACAGAAGGGGCAACACAGAGCCCCTGGCCTGCACACCAAGGTTTATTATGAAACCCAGGTGACTGCGGGCCATTGGTGTCCGGCGGTGGAAAGTATCTTTAAACGCTGTGTAATTTTGTGTAACGAAAAGCGCTTCGTTAGTGATGTGGAGCGACAGCATTTTGGTTGTCCTGTTAGACACAGCCAAGATGAGAGGCAGATGTTACTGACAGAGCCGTCCTCCAGAGGGCGCTGCTGCGGCATCGGCCGGCCCAAGGTTCCCTGAAGCTTTGTTGCACCATCTGGCCTGGCTTGGGCCCACTTGTAATAGTCTTTCAATTACGCGGCGTCTGTAGCTAATGAGTTTAGCAGGGCTGCACTTCCTTTCCCGACCTTGTACTTGCACTCTGGGAGAGTGAGTAAAGGTGCCCCCCCCCCGCGGAATATACACACCTGCATTTTTTTATTTTCTATTTTCTGTCCTCCTCCCCATGATACAGAGCTTTTTAAGTCGCCCTGTACATATGAATCTATGATCATGAGTTATGCATATCAGCTTACAGTGTGTCAACAGTCTGCCTAAATATACTGTCAATTCTATTTTCTTATTTTTCTTTAACGGATAAAGTCAGAATGTCATGATCATTTTTAATAGACTGAAAAAAGAACTCTAAAAGCCATTTAGAGTGTGTTTGCATTATGCTAATAAATTGTTCATTTGAGCAGCTGAAGTCAACATAACACTAATAAAATGTTAACTCTATTTAAATGGCTGTGCCTTTTAATCACTATTTTAGGTCATTTTCCCCCTGTTGTTGCAGTGATTACACACTTTGAAATATCAGGTGTCCTGGGAAATTGGTGAAATGTATGTTGTGCCCTGGACATCTGTCCCTCTGCCTTGACTCTCATGAATTTATCCTGAAGTGATTTGTTTGCAAAGGGAACATCAGGAATAGCCTGTGCCAGTATGGCCATTCTGGGACTTCTCTGATCTGCAGTCAGAGCTCTCTGGTGACGCTTCTCATCCTTGATCTGCACCATTCATCACCCTCTCTCCCTTTCTCGTCGCTTTTGCTATGTTTGAGTGCTTTATGCAGGTCCCCAATGTCCTTTACGACTGCCACTGTTCTGCAATTGTCACACCTTGTACACAACCTAGCCAGTGTCCCTGAAGGTGTGAAGCATCTTCAGCTCGATTAAAAGGTCACTTAGCGTTATCAGTATTTAGTATTTTGTTTCCTTTCAAAAAATCCACGTCTTTATCTCTGGTCGTCGTAGGCTCCTTAAAGATGTTAACAAAGAAGCTACACTGAGAAATCGATTTGATACTGGAGAATTGTAAGAATTTGAGAACTTTTTTTCTATCGCTGTTTTAATTACCAAATCAAAATATTGCGTATTGGATCTCTCCAATATAACTGAATTTAATTTGAAACTGATATCCATTAAATGCCAATATTATACAATTTTAGTGAAAGTACCACCACTCCAAAGTGACAGTTGCCTCCTGGTTTGTAATGCATGGGATCTGCAGAATCCTGGAGCGCCGTCGCGGGTGTGAATCACACCACTGCGTTTTCCAGCAGAGCTCAGTCCTCTGTCCTTCCGGACCTCAGTCTTCCCTGAAGCAGCGATTCACCACCCCCCCCACCCCCACGGCGAGGAGGGCAGATGTGCTCCAGCACACTACGGTGGCTAGTTTTCACATTGATCAAGGCGCGCATCACTGAGCACTGATCATGCCTTTGTGGACTATTCGTTTAATTTCCGCATCTCACCCGCCAACGACATGCGTCGCTTTGCTGATCAGACCTCACCAAATTCTGATCTAACACATCATCAGAGCAACCAGTTCAACATGGCAGGCTGCCAAGCAATGCGTCAACCAGTAGGCCAATAATATCTATTCATAACCTGTTAGATAACCTGTTTCCTACTCGTATACACTGGAGTCTTTGTAGACAAAAATATCTTGTGGTATGACATAAAATGCATTTCAGACACTTAAGGATAACGATCACCTGGGAAGACAGGTCAAACAGAAAGAGACGCACTAAGACAGGCGACGCTCGCCTGCAGGATACACTGGTACTATAGAAGAAAATTCACACGTGTGGACAAAACACAATACTGCCACCCAGTGGTTACAATAGTAATTTGTGCCTATGCGTATCCGTTTTACCGTGGCAATTTGACGACGGCCCTGAGAACTTGCCCATGAGCAGCGTTTGGAGGATGGATGAAAAGATGGAATTTAATAAATCGGAACATTCATCTTTGTTGTAATGTCAAACTTAATTAAACACGCAAGTTAATTATGCAAAGAGAGAGGTATACATGACGTAAGTAAGCAGTCCATGTGAACCCACCTCAGCACGAGTCAATGTTTTGCATTGACGACCTTCCAGCTGACAATATGTACGCGTATAAATTCACGTCGGTTTTTTTAAACTCACGTACCGCTTGTTATTCTGATATCAATATAATGTATTTACCTCATGTTGTAATTCTGTGCAATATGAAATTTGACTAAACTTATCTGAGAATGTAAGTATACATGACTTGCGTGTAGAAGAAGCAATACTAAATAATTCCACTAGGTGGCAGGGCTTCACAGCATGCAAACTCTTTATACGGAATTGAATTGTAGAGGGCAGGACACATACATCCGTTCTTTTAAAGCTGACATGCCAAACGCACCAAACCCCCTGGTATCTCACATTTCATGCCAGCAGCTGAAAAACGTTGCTAAATGCTGATTGGCAAGCACCCACGAACCCATATTGATTTTTTCATCACCTGTTAATATAGTTACTATGTTCCTTTTGCATAATTTTGCGATGCGTGGAGTTTTATGAAGCGCACACAAATCGTGTTTATTTAATAATTAATGTTCAGATGTAAGCTTCAAACAACTACACAATATAACCCTACATATTACAGTTCTCTACTGTATCGTGCAGCTTTTTTAGATAAACTTTTTAATTAATTGCTTCGTTATTATTTTGTTTTCAACTTACGTAAATTTTTAATGTTACATTTGTATTCAATTCATAGGAAGTTTATTCACTTGAGTGCTATCTTACAGAAATTCGCTAGATGGCACTCATGCTCTAAACTTTCGAACTTTATAGACGTACCTTGCAGTGTCATGTTATGTGAAGCGGTTTGCTTCTGCATGTCTGCCCGTTGGTATTTATATGTCAGTTTGTGTCTGCGCATGAACTGTCATCAGCCATTGGGCTAACTTGTTGCACTAAAGGTCAGTGTTATTCAGTGACAGTCAGAAGCTATTTTTTACTCCATCTGGAACCTGCCAGGTGCCACATCAATCATACACACTGGGTTCAAAGTCACATGCGTCCTTTTTTAAGGAAGGAGGTGGAACTAACCTTCGTGTCTTTATCAAGCGAAATGTCAGTAGGCAGTGCACTCCAATGCGAAGTCAGCAATCCAATTGTGCGGAAAAGTAATTTGGTGATAGAAATCAATAGGATGGTAATAGGAATTAATGTGGCGGTAGAAGAAACCAATTTAACGTAGGCTAAATTTATACGGTAGTATGATAAAGCAGTGTAGCGGTATGTGAAAGTCACCACTTCCGAGTTCAGTTCAGCATGGTACTTTCCCTTATGGTCTGTGGTATTAACCTAACCTGGTGTATGGTTTTCATTCAAATCACATAAATAAAAACTGACATGATGTTAACAAAATGCTTGTTTAATCACACCTAAACGGTGTATGTAACAGTAGCCCCACAATACCTCCAGACTAAAGCGTCGGGAACCCGAACCAAGTTCCTATATTGTGATTAATATAAATGTCTTGACTGCCATTTTCCCATTGATGTGTTTCGATTGAAAAATTCAAGAGACAAAAATATTGAACATCAGATTAAAAATTTTTTTAAGGATTTTAAAATATATTATGCTCTCTATATATTTCTCACAGAAGGTATTTTTAAATTTCTTATATAACCAAAATTAAACTAGGTGTTAGACTTTGACGTTTCTCCTTCTCGACTATGAAGTTATCCGTGCGTGGCACATTAAGTATGGAAGCTTGCTGGACGAGTAGCTGCAATATATCTGAGCTGGGAATAACCCTTCCGTCGAAGTAGCGGTAACTAAACCCAGTTGTTATCCCTATCACTATCAGTCCCGACACTATCTTCCCTTTATTCTCCGAATCTGGCGTCCATCAGCAGAGAACTACCAACCATCGGAAGTCTTACTGCGAGTTTAATCCGCCCTTCAGCCAATCAATGGTCTTGTAACTCCGGCGTGACCGTGGCGGTAATGTTGTGGAGTTTGTGCCTCCTGTGTTTGTCTATTTCAGGAAGGAAAGAGGAAGCCCGGGCCGAGCGCAAACTGAAATAAAGCTGGAGATATTAACCCGCGGAAGTCCGGGGGGGTTCCCCGAATCATACTGATAAATCCAGGAGCGCACCGATATCCGCATGAAACATGGTGGTTCTCAAAATCCGAGACCAGGTAGGTGGCTTGCTAACGGCTACCTCGCGCGCTAGCTGGCTAATGCTTTAATTGGCTAGGTGGCTAGCTTGGCAGGCTAGCTGCTTGTTATTTTTACTCTGAGACCTTAGCGGGTTTTGGCTTTAAAATACTTCAGGGCCAATTCGGGGAGGTATGTCTGACTAGGGAATGGTAAGGTCCGACGCGGTGTGTCACTCGCCGGCGACGATGGAGGCTCCGGGGATGAGCCTCTTGGTTAGCTGCCCAGCTAGCTGTGCCTCGCCGTAAACGGTCCGGTGGAAGGGGGTGTGCGCGCGCCGAGCTCGGCGGCTGGCCCTGGTGTCCCAATAAATGACGGGCTACGGGGACAGCAAGGAAGCGAAAGGGTCTGTGAGCACGGCCGGCGACAAAGGCCCGGCACCGGCTGTGTGCCGCTGCACCACGGCTGTCTGACTGTCCGGTTAAACTGGGCGACTTGATTTGACAGGACCCGCTGTTATAACGTGCACATGACAGGCCGTTGTGTTATGCATGCGTACAATCAACTTGCGCGCTATAATACAGATTATTTTTAAACGTGCCAGCCAAGTGAGAGATCAAGCTTGATTGATGCCTTCCGCTGCCGTTGCCATGACAAGATAATTCAGCATCCCTAGATGCCGAAGGCTCCCCCCACTGTTTGCATTGCTCATGTATACACGATGCATTTGATTGCATGATTTATATACATTGTTAGTCAAATTGTACACGTTGTTCAACAGAAATATTCTGAACCTACATTTGAATATGATGTATGCTTATTTACTTTTGTTAAGTATTTGCTTATTTTAGTCGCCATGGTTGCGGACGGTCCACTATAACAGGACCTGTGTTGCCTAAAACTAGAGTTATTTAATTTGACAGCAGGATGTAATGGGATGTATTGCTGTCCTCAGCAGTAGGTGTGTAAATAGTGGAAGATTGCCTCCTAAGCAGTTTAAACACTTAAGTATGACCACACACACACACTTGGTGTGACATTTGACTTTATTATTAACTTATAGGAAAAATGACCTTTTACAAGTTAATCTGTCACTTAATAACTTAGAGCTGACAGAATGCAGCAGAGAATCAGGTCTCCTGTATTTTCTAAAATGAGTTATTGTTTACAGTACACTGAAGAGGTCTTCCAGGTCATTTATCCAGTCAGGGATAAATGCATTCTGGGTGGACACGCCCCCTACTGACAGTTTAACCTGAAGTCATTATTTGTATCCTTGTGGGGTAGTGAGGAACCTCGAGGAGGTGC